AAAGTTAGTTACAAGAAAATAATTGATGAACTCTATTCTACAAACATATCAAGCAATGAAGATTTAAATAAGCAACTACAAAAGAAAGTAGCAACCATAAGCATCGGTATGCTGGAAAAATCGCATAACACATCACAGAAAAGTAGCACATTTAACTCATTGAGGGAGGCGTGTTATTATCAAAAGTTGAATCCAAACAGTAAAATCTATACAATCGGTCAGTACCAAACAGAATTAGAAGAATTAGAAGATGATGAAATGAGAGTAAAGGATACAGAAGGCATGACATATTATGTATTGAATGTTTCAGATAAAAAAGTATTGACTAATGGATTTATGCTAATAAAAGAACTGCTTTACAATACCACAATTTCAAAATGTATGAAACATATAAAACATTAACTGATAATAATATTAAAGTGTATAGTGTTAAAACGGACAGTTTTACTATCCACAAAGACGATTTGGATAAAGTTTATGGATATACTTATTTAAGAAAATGGCAGGAAGGACTGCTGAAATTTGGCGATGAAATAGGCGACTGGAGACTTGAAGAGAAGCACACTGTAACATTACCGACACAACCATATAAGTATAAGTTTAATGAATTACCTGAAATACCGAAGATTAAGAATATTAATATTTCTATTGAAGATGAATACAACACAGAAAGCATTTGTAAAAAAGTTATTAAACAAAATCCAGTAATTATTAGGGGTAAATTTCCGGGCACAGGTAAGAGTTATATAGGCGAACATTTCCAAACAATGAATTATAATGTTCTGTTCGTTGTTCCAACAAATAGACTTTTACAAGAGAAAGAAGTAGAAGCAATAACATATAACAATTTTTTTAGCATTGCCGTTCATGAAGATGTCGGAGCGAAATTACAAATTTATGATTATTCGCCTTTTGATGTAATAGTGTTTGACGAAATATATATGTCAAATTTATATGTGCTGAATAAAGTAAGGTTATTTATTCAGAATAATCCGGATAAAATCGTAGTTGCTACGGGCGATGTTAAGCAATTACAAGGAGTGGAAGTAATGACCAACTGCCAAGACCCGGCGACATACATGGATAATTGTTTGGATACAATCTTTAAATACAACATCTTCTTAACAATTTGTAAAAGAGTAGGTGCAAAAGATAGTGAAGAAGGAGAAAGAAACAGAGCAATAATTAATGATATGTATGCTGACTTTTGGGAAAATACATTGCCAATAAATGACATCATACCCAAATATTTTGAAATCACTGATGATATAATGGCATCAGAGCATAACATTGCTTATACTAATATAAGATGCCGAAATGTAGCAAGTGAAATCAGAGAGAGATTAAACAAAAATGCTAAATATGTAGTGGGCGATATGTTAATTGCCAGAAAGTGGATTAAACAACCCAGAGTTAATATAAATTTAAGATACAGGATTACAAATATAGAAGATGATGAATTAGGAAAACAAATAACATTACAAAACATAGCAAACGAAGAAGATGAATTTATGTTATTTGAACCTGTGGTTGATGCTAACTTTATATATTCATACTGTGCCACTACTCACTCATCACAGGGAGCAAGTGTAAAAGAAAGCATGACAATACATGAATGGAATTTACCATTTGTAAGTAGAGAGTTTTTATGGACGGCGATTACAAGATGTGTTGATTTCAGAAAGGTTAAATTTTATTTCAATCCAGAGTTTGATAAGCACATGGATAAAAATATGATAATGAGATACTTTAAAAACAAAGTAGAAATTATAAGATACAAGACCGTCGCGCTCACCGGGAAGTAAATGAAGAAGAATGCATAACTGCCGAATGGTGTTTATCACAGTTTCGCGCCAGATGCCAAAAGTGTAATACTTCATTTAACTTTGAAACGAAGAAAGGTAAATTATGTAGTAATTTTACTTGTCAGCGCCTTGATAATTCAATCGCTCACCATATTGATAATTCAACTTCATTCTGTGTATATTGTAATGTTTCAGCTCATTAAGATTTTAATATTTTTTATAATAAAATCTTAGTTTTAGACTAAAAAAGGTTTAAAGAAATAATACCTATATATAGTAGAGAGTAATGAACGAACAAGAAGTAAATAATTATATAAATAAGAAATGCTATGACTGTTGCCATTTCAAAAAAGAGAATATGGAATTATACAAATTGAATTTACCTAATGGAATAGTCAATAATATAATTGATTATGCATTGGGTAAAGAAGATGAATGTAAAATTTGTCAGGAATGGAGAGATAATCAATTTTTAATCAAATGTCTGTTGAGAATAAAAGGGAGACATAATAGAAATGTAGAAGATGAGATTTTAATATTTCTAACTGTAAATAAAATACCACCTTACGATTATGTTAAACAGTTTCTTAAAATCAGTAAGAAAATATGATATGATTTATGATATATCATGGATGTTGGGTTATAGTCAAGAGAACGGAGAAGATGTTAAAGAAAATATCCAATTATTTATTGAAAGTAAAAAGTTTAATGTTCAAAATACAGTGAGAGATATTAGTATTATTTTTAAAATGATGTATGAAATAAGTAAGATTTGTCAATTAAATTATTATCCTGAATTTAAATTATAAATAATATTATCAATATAATAAATCTTAATTTATTATATGGATAAACAAAAAACAATTAGTGATATTCATTATGATAAAAGCGGATACGGAAGTAAAGCAATAACGTTGAAAGATGCCAGACAGAAAGATAAAACTATTACTATGAGTGATGTAAATGAATTCTTTAAAAATAATATTGAAGAGAAAAGAAAACCAAGAGGGCAAAATAGTTTTGTTGCTCCTCATGCCTTTTGGGAATTTCAACTGGATTTGTTTTTTATTTCTAAAAATGATTTGGAAAATCAAAAGTTTAGAATTGGATTAATATTAATTGATATATTTAGTAAATATGCTACTGTAATACCTATTGCAAGTAAGCAACCGCCAGATGTACTAGCAGGAATTATGGAAGGCATTAAGAAAATGGGCGGAAAGCCCAAAATGATATACAGCGACGAAGAAGGCAGTTTGTTTAGTTCTACCATTACAGATTATCTTGATGAGGAACAAGTTGAATTACACACCACGAGAGGCCACCCTGCTTTTGGAGAAAGATTTATTAGAACCTTTAAGGATATGCTTATTAAAAGAGTTGATGCTGATGAAAAGAAAGGTAAAAACAATATACAATGGATAGATTACAATTTAGAAATATTATTGACATATAATAATAAATTAGTAAGTTCCGTTACGAAAATGACACCATTAGAAGCAAGGAAAAAGAAAAATGAGTTTGAGGTGAAACTAAATATATCAATGAATGCCAGAAAAACCCGTGTGTATCCTGATTTAGATGTAGGGGACAAAGTCAAGATAATGAGAAAGAAAGCGATTAGCGAGAAAGAGAGAACCAGTCATTATTTGAAGACTATTCACACCGTAACTAAAACAGAAACTAAGTTAGGACAAAAATATTATTCTGTTAGTGATTTTAATAAATCTTTGTTGAGGCATGAGATGTTGAAATTATAGTTTTAGACTAAAAAGGTTTAAAGAAATAATACCTATATATAGTAGAGTGTAATGAACGAACAAGAAGTAAATAATTATATAAATAAGAAATGCTATGACTGTTGCCATTTCAAAAAAGAGAATATGGAATTATACAAATTGAATTTACCTAATGGAATAGTCAATAATATAATTGATTATGCATTGGACGAAGAAGATGTATGTAGAACTTGTAGAAGATGGCGACGATATCAAAATATAGTAGAAAATAGTTTGGAGATTAAACAAATAGATAAAAGAAACGTAGAAGATGAAATTTTAATATTTTTAACCGTGTATGGAAGACCACCTTATAGTTATGTTAGAATATTTCTAAAAATCAGTAAGAAAAAATATAAAATGATTGAAAGTATATTATGGATGTTGACTTATCATAGTAGGGAAGGTTTTGATGTAAAAGAAGACATTAAAACATATCGAAAGTAAAAAGTTTAATATTAAAAATACAGTGAGAGATATTAATATTATTTTAAAAATAATGCATGAAAGACGTAAGATATATATACAACTTAGTAGTCATCAATTAAGTTATTATCCTGAACTTAAATTTTAGAATAACCCCATAAACCTTACAAAAAAATTAAATTGTAAGATTTATGTTTTGGTATGGTTGATAGGTTGCTTTGTATTTTATTTGTCCGTTTCTTGTTAGGGTTTTTGTAATTGTCTATTGTATGGTCGGTTGTTTGGTGGTTTTTTTTCTATGAGGGTCTTACCCCAGAGCAAAAATATTATTTGTGTCTAAAACTATTTAAAGGGATGTGGGTATTCTATATTAGAGGTTATGGAAAGGAAATATTGCTCGGGATGTCGGAGAGATAGGAATGTGGATTGTTTCATTGATAATTATAATAATTGTGAAAGATGCCGTGAGAAAGGAAAAAGGAAGAGCAAGGTCAATTATCATTGTGATGTGTGTAATTGTGATATTAGGAAAATGAATAAAGCGAGACACGAATTAACTTACAGGCACGAGGAAAATTTAAAAAAGAATGAGGTTGAGGATAATTGAAATGGTTTAAGTTATTCTTGAAAAATGAATAACTTGAAACATTTGGTGAGTGGATTGATTTTTACAGGATTTATGCCAAACATATTTGGTTGGTTTTGGGCGGTGCTTTTTAAATGGCGTGAAAACCATAGGGTGGAGTATGGACAATTTTGCTTGTTGGTAAGCTACTGCTTGCTACCACGTGGGAGTATTTTTGGGGGGGGGGCGCCAAAGCAGTGCTCCTTGCCGTTCACAAGGGATGTGAGCCACAATCAAAACCGGATAGATTTGTTTAGGTGCACCACCCATTTTAGTTTATTTTAGTGGGGATTGGGATGTTCACTGGGGGTACGATTCGGATTTTGATCCATGGCTATCGGGTTTTGAGGAAGTGACTCACCTGAGGCCATCAAGGACGTGGAGGCCCTGGTGGACTCCCGTGAGGCGGTGCGGGCACTGGCGCAGGCGCTGGGCAATGTGGACGGGGCCGCCAGTGCCTCTACCCTGGTGGTGATCCTGGGGACGCAGGCAGGAGGGGGGGGGGGGTGGCCGAATTTTGTGTGCGAAGGGACATACCCACATACCGCTCTGTGAAAGCAGATGAGAAAAACAAGGGGTGCGTATGTCTTTTTTCATGGCGGGGGAAATGGTTTAACGCTCCTCCCGCAGATAAATATGAAATCGCGGGTCCTGGAAAGGGAGATGAAAGGAAAGTACTCTTCCAGGAGCTCGCGCACTTCTTCTGGTAGGTGGGAGGATGACAAAAGCAAGGAGCCTTAAATTGATGCTTTTGGCCGGCCGTTCTCCTCTAAAATGGCACGCGCTGTCAGCTTCCATATTGCCTTCCCTTTAAAATAGAAGTTTGGAAGACTACTTCCTTTGCTTGTTGAGCGGGTACCGTCCCACTTCAGGCGGGCCTGGCGCGCGTTGCTCGCATGGAGCCGGCGCTGGAGGCAGAGGGGATGTGGGGGCTTGGGGGTGGGAGACTGAGTGGGGTGGGTGGGTGGGTGGGTTGGTGGGTTTGGGTTGGTGGGTTGGTGGGTTGGTGGGTTGGTGGGTCGGTGGGTCGGTGGGTTGGGTGGGTTGGTGGGTTGGTGGGTTGGTGGGTTGGTGGGTTGGTGGGTTGGTGGGTTGGTGGGTTGGTGGGTTGGTGGGTTGGTGGGGCGGTGGGTCGGTGGGTGGGTGGGTTGGTGGGTTGGTGGGTTGGTGGGTTGGTGGGTTGGTGGGTTGGTGGGTTGTGGGTGTGTGGGCGGGCGGGTGCGTAGGTGCGTAGGTGGGTTGGTGGGTTGGTGGGTTAGTGGGTTGGTGGGTTGGTGGGTTGGTGGGTCGGTGGGTTGGTGGGTTGGTGGGTTGGTGGGTGTGGTTGGGTGGGTTGGTGGGGGTGGGTTGGGTGGGCTGGGTTGGTTGGTGGGTTGGTGGGTTGGTGGGTTGGTGGGTTGGTGGGTTGGTAGGTGGGTCGGTGGGTCGGTGGGTCGGTGGGTCGGTGGGTCGGTGGGTCGGTGGGGGTGGGTCGGTGGGTTGGTGGGTTGGTGGGTTGGTGGGTGGGTTGGTGGGTTGGTGGTGGGTGGTGGGTTGGTGGGTTGGTGGGTTGGTGGGTTGGTGGGTTGGTGGGTTGGTGGTGGTGGGTTGGTGGGTTGGTGGGTTGGTGGGTTGGTGGGTTGGTGGGTGGGTGGGTGGGTGGGTGGGTGGGTGGGTGGGTGGGTGGGTGGGTGGGTGGGTGGGTGGGTTGGTTGGTTGGTTGGTTGGTTGGTTGGTTGGTTGGTTGGTTGGTTGGTTGGTTGGTGGAAATGGGGGCTGGTGCTTTCTTATCGCAGGCGCCGTGAAGGGGCCATGCGCCTCCCCGTGCATGAGCACGGAAACTGATGCCGGTGAACCCATCATGCTGATGTGGGTAGTGGGCTTTGGACGATGCCGGGGCTGCTTTACTTGTCGCTTAACTATACTGACAATTTGCGAAGGAAGCGACTTGAACAATTTCTTTGATTTGTGAACACTTGTCCCAAGTTGGCCTCTGGTAAGAGGGGAATCCCAGACTTCCACGCCAAATCGCACATGGCTTTGTGCCCCCCACCCTCAGCTCCGGCAATCCCCGGCGCTCGCCAGGCGCGTTTCCCCACCAACGTTTCCATCCCGGCAGCTTGGCTGCAAGGTCCTTAGGTGGGGAAGCGCTTGGCTCGATGATATCTGGAACGAAGATTTAAGCGCGAGCCGTTCCGTGTCTCCTCCCAACACGTGTGCTATGTTGTGTCGGTGCGCCATTTGACAGGTGTAGGGTCTTTCAGGTTTCTCTGCGGCCAGAATGTTTTACAGGGCTGGCTTTGCTGACTTGTCAGTCAGGGTGCAATGCTCAAGCGAATGCGCCGAGACTTCAACCTGAGTTGGCCTTTTCCTGGCTTTGGTTGCAACACTCTGGCATTGGCTGGCACAGCAAATTCAAATGGGGAGATGACTCAGTTGCCAGGCCTGCACACCAACTGCTAGTGGCAAACATGCTGCAGACATCGGGTATATGCGTCCATCATCAATTTGGAGTTTCCGTTTAATTCCTTTTTGGCCAGCCATCATCAATTTGGAGTTTCCGCTTGATTCCCTTTTGGCCAGCCTGAGAAGGGGCACCGTTTTGGGATCCGTGATGGGATTCCGGATGAGGACTTCACATCGCTGGAGCTGGTTCAGTTCATGGAGGACTGTGCTGCCAAGCTGCCCTCAGGCGGGAGGGGTGGGGGGGTGGGGAGCCTTTGGGGTGTGAGCTCACCACCGTGGGTATTTGTCCAACTCTTTGATGCTTCAAGCCACGAGCTTTAGCTTCAAGTCACGAGCTTCGGCTTCCAATGCCTGAAGCAATATCAGGGTTTGGATGGGAGGCGGGACTGAATAAGCCTGAATCGCATGAATTGATCCTTGCCCCCTGGAAGAGTTTGATGCCCGCCACGCACGAGCAAGTCCCACAATCTCGTCCACATGTTTGCAGCTGGGGAATCTGTCTCAATAGGACCTGGTCCAAGTTTGGGTCTTACTTCCCTTCTGGATGCCCATTCTTGATTGCGATTCATAATGTGATAGCAAGCCTTGATGCTGGCTAGTTTTTGTTCACCCGCCAAGTGGTTGACCCACCTGTTTCGGAGTCCAAAGGGCAGAAGTTGCTGCCTTCAAGAAAGAGGGCCGGACAGTCGACTTTTGAGCTGGGCTTCGGGCAATCTACACTTTCAGCTTTGTTTTGGGTCAAGCTGATTCCAGTCAACAACTGAAACACATCACCTCCAGACACTTCAGGGCTATTTTCTTGGGCTCTATTCCAGGCTTCCACTTGTTCCCATGCAGCCCGGTGGTTGGCCCGGCCGTTTTTGCCCAGCAAAACGCGGCCGTCCGCAGCTCTCGCCCCCTCAGCCCCCCCCCCCCCAAGCTGGGCTGCAGGGGCTTTGGCCTTCGAGCAGAACTTGGGCCCGCGCCTTGCGGAGCACCTCAACGAGGTCTATGGCGGTGGCGGCCAGGGCAAGGAAGCCCCGTGGAGGGGGGGGGGGCGCGGGGTGGGGGGGGGGGGAGGGGGGAAGGGGCGGTGGAGGTTTCAGCGCTGTTTTTTTCTTCTTTTCTTTTTTTGGGGGGAGAAACTGGAAGCCGCACCAAGGTAAGCCAAGAGGGAAGCTGGAAGATCACAGTTGCGTCTCGCTATTGCTTAGTTTGATGGGGGAATACTCATTACCACTTTGGAGCCATTAAATACAACCATTGTTTTTGGGGGTTCGTGGTGTGAGGCAGGTGGAAACAATCGTGCGACAGGAGCTGGGAGAGCGGGGGAACTTGGCGCTAGCGCGGCGTCTTCTGCAGCGTGCGGTGCAGAATCGCATCACCAGGCAGGGGGCATGGCCGCTGATGATACCCGTGTTTGGGAGCCTGACGGGCAGGTGTTTGGCGCAAACCTGCGAAGCCACGAGAAACATGCGATGCCGCACTGGTGGTGCGTGCCTTGTGGTCGGGCTTTGGAGTTTAGGGGAGCCCCTGGACAGGCTCTTCAACAGCATCCAAGAAGGCGAGACCCCCGGGGAGAGTCCCGAAAGCGAGCACCTCACCAAGGAGGAGGGGGCTGGGGGTCACGGGCGAGAGTGGGAGAACTGAAAGGCCCTGCCCTCTCTGAACACGGTTAAGCTGCGTTCCTCCAGTCTTCTAGGAGTTTTTCTGTATGAGTCCCAGTTTTGGCACCCATCCGCAGGACTTCGAAGTGGGCGCCCCCATCGGCGAGGGCAGAGAGCAGAAGGACGCCATCGATGAGGAGGTGGGGATGGGTTTGAGAACCACTAACATGGGAATCTTTTTGGGTGTGCCTCTCAGAAGTAGACTGCCCCAGGTGACTGGTTCGCTTTATGTTTCCAGCAGCGAAGATATTGGAGAAGAACAGAGAGATGGGATTTGCCATGATGTTGATCCAAGAAAGAAGGCCTTTCTGGAAGAAAACGTTTCCTCCCTGGTTTCAGTCGCCCTGGGCACTTGAATGAGACCGCAGCTGTTTTGTTGATACACGGGCTTGTCCAAATCGATGCAGCTGGGCCACGGGTTTCTCAGGTGTGCAACCTCATCGGCATGACAAAGGCCAAGGAGTGGTTTGCTCAGGCCGATGGGTGGGCGATGGGCGGACCAAGCCGATCAGTCGCGCTGACTGCCGGTTATGCAAAATCGCTTGCCCGACAACTTAGGAGCCTGCGGATGAGATTTTTTGGGCCAGCCTCCCGCCTTGATGTTTCTTTGCTCAGTAGTGCTCAGAAGAGTATACCCCCGTATTGCAAACATCGGATGTTTGAGCATTTTTCCGCCGGCAGTGATTGTGCAAGCAGCCATGAAAACGGCTGCTAGTGACATCGCTTGTTGGCCGGCAAAGAGTCGTCACCCTCCCGCCGGCATGTCGGAGGTGCGGCAAAAGGTGGCATTCGTGGAGCAAACGGGCACCCGGAGTGACCTGAGGCGGGGTGCCCCCCCTCATGGTTGCAGGATTGCTTCCTTTACGCCACGCGCCTCATCCCAAGAATCGAGTCCTCGACAAGGGCAATAAGCTGTGAGGTACAACTTGCGCTGCCATGAATTCGCAACCCGAGTTTTTGGTTTGAGCTGTTCATCGGGGGGTTTGCCAAGTGATGTCACAAAGGCATAGGCCAGGCAGGAATAACCGTCGGACCCCCCTGAGGGTCTGCCTGAACATCATCATCACCGGCAACCCGGGCACGGGCAAGACCACCTTCGCGCGGCTGCTGGCGCGTTTCTTCCACACCTACGGGGTGCTGCCCAAGGAGACCCCAGTAGGGGAAACCGGGCCTTGGAACCATTTGGCCGTGGTTGTCAAAACCAAGACGGGATCCCACGTTGGGGTAGGTGCTCCACCCATTTTAGTACCTATTTTAGTGGGGATTGGGATGTTCACTGAAGGTACGGCATTTTGACCCATGGCCATTTGTTTGAATCGCGCCCTTTCGTTGCGATGCGCAACTTCGTTTGGGGTCATCGGGAGCAAGCCATTTGCAGGATAGCTTTGTGGAGAAGAACGGCGGGGGCTCCCAGCTGGCTCGGTACTTGCAAACCGGATTGATATACAAAAAAGTGTCGTTGGGTTTGCGTCAAATGGCGGGTTTCCGCGTTGTGTCCCTTTAAAACCAACCAAAAGTCGGGGGTTGCTCAACAAGATGCACCTTCACAGAGAAGGATGGCCGGTGAGGTTTCTGCGTATTGGCTGTGCCGAGGCCTTGAGCTGAAGGCGGAGTTCATGGGAGGCACCGCCCCGAGGGTCAAGGCCGGACTCGCCGAGGGAACGTGCGCCTTTTTTGCGGGCGGTTCGTCAGGGTCGTGTTGAATGTTTGGGCATGCTTCGGCAGGATGGGTGAGAAACACGAGCAGCGAGCAGGTGTTTTCAGTGCTTGCCATTCAGGATCCGCGCCATGATGTGAGAATAGACGGTTGTAATTGGCATGGCCTCAACAAGGCGACCCAGCTTGCAGTGGCCATCCGACATTGCTTGCAAGGGAGATCTCCTTTCCGCGCCAGGCAGCGGTGCAGGAAGCCATGGGCGGCTGTCTGTTCCTGGATGAGGCCAGCGGAGCGGATGCCGCAGGGTTTGGCCTCCCTCAACCCCTCAAAGGAGGTGATAGGCTGTTCTCATAGTTGTAGCTGCGTTTGCCGACGCAGTGGAGGTTGTGGCTGTGGCGGCATTCTGTGACATTCCGTGGCATCGCCTCCAGCAAATTCCTCGGGACTCGGAAGCACCCTGCGAATGGTGGTCGAACAGGCCTACGCCCTCATGGACTCGGCTGCGGGCATCGGTGGGGGTGGGGACGCTTTCTCTCAGGAGGCTTTGAGGAGGGGTTGGTTAGGATGTTGCGCAGTCGGAAGTGGGTGGCTTTTGGAGGAATTATTTGAGGGTTGTGGCTGCTTGAGGTGGCGTTTTCATGCGGCGATGGGATGGGTGACTTCACTGGGATTTTTCACGGCAGTGTTAAGAATTGGGCCCTTTTGCCTTGTCAGTCAGTGCGTTTTCAATTTCGACTGATGAGGGCCACAGCTCCTCAAGGATGGCACAGGCCATGCCCAAAGCGGTCGCTCAGGGCGCTTTTGGGGTGGCGCGCAAGGACGCTGCTGACGGAGGTGGAGAACCACCGCACCAATCTCATGGTGGTCCTGGCAGGGTACAAGGCCAAGCCAAGCGCCTGACACGCTGCCCTTCCCAGTTGTCTTTGAGCTTCGAACCTTTTTGCAGCCCCGCTATACGGGTTGAGCTCCCCAAACCAGAACATGGTCTGCCAAAAGGGTCCTGTTGCGGATGGGCTGAGTCACCGGTGGCCCACAGGAGAAGATGGGTCGGCTGATGCGCGCGGAGGAGCGGGCTAGTCTAGTGCTGGGGGCCCTTCGGTAAAGCGCAGATGCCAGTGTTGGCGCGTGGCAGCCTTTGCAATAACCAGAAGATCAGAGCGAGAGAGAGAGAGAGAAGAGAGAGAGAGAGAGAGAGAGAGAGAGAGAGAGAGAGAGAGGTAGAGAGAGAGAGAGAGCGCAAGAAAAAGAGAGGGAGGAAGAACAAATCAGGATGTCGATAAAGAGGAATAGAGTGGGGATGAAAGTGTTGTTTTGTCTTCTTTCTTCTTGACAAGATGTGCTGTCTCCTCCCGATCTTTAATTTGTGCATTGTTGCTTCCCCGAAGGACAGCCTTTGATTTGTTCTTTTGCCAGCTGGTTGCAAAGGTGTCGGCTGGTCGACTCCTACAGTTCCCCTCAGCCTGACCCCCTTCGGTGTCCATCTCCCATACCGAGACAAACCCGCACCCAGCAAAAACTAGGGCAGTGCCCCCCCCTCCCTCATGTACAAGAAACACCCCCCTCCCAGATTTTCAGGGAGAACCAACACCCTTCCCCACCCCCACCCCCACCCCCACCCCCACCCCCACCTGCCAGATTTTGAAGGAGAACCAGAACCCACCGCCCAGCCGCCCAGCCGCCCGTCAGGAGGGTCTGGCACGGCGCTTCCCCAACCGCTTGCACTTGGACGACTACACCCCGGCGGAGCTTGCGCAGATCTGCGAGATGAGTGCCAGGCCGGCGCTTCTGGCTCGTCTGCGGCTTGTGGTCGGGGTGGGGAAAGTGGAGATCTCCCACTTTGGGTTTTTGGTTGGGAAACAGGTTGCATTTTTGCTTCTTGTGGTTTGGGGCATCCCCACACTGCTCCCCTTCCAAAGCTTCTGCTCCCCTTCCAAAGCTTGGGGATCCCATGTTTGGTTCACGTCTCGCTTGTCCGCATTGTGTCATCTTTCTCAGATGCAACTCACTTGTCCAAAGGTCCGCTTGTCGTCATGTCGCCAAGAGGCGAACCTGTATTTCCAGATAATGTTGACCCCGGATTAATAAACCTGTCCCATTATTGGGGGGGTGCTCCCTCCAAAAGTGATGAATCCCCACTAAAAAGGGCACACCCCCTATTAATCAACCAGGGGTTTATTAATCCGGGGTTAACATTAACTACCTGATTTGAGGATCCGGGGAAGCCGCTGTGGACCACCTACAGGGCTCCCTGAGTTTGAGCGACACCCATGCGGAGACCGCTCAAATAGGACACATTTTCTCCTGTCTTTTGAATAACGGGCTTGGAGGTTAAGATGCCGATACTTGACTTGTACATACACATGTACTTGCATGAGACGACATTTGTTTGCACGTTGCAAAGCGGCCTCCGTTCAATCAGGTAGCGCCGCTTCGGTGTTTATCCTTGCTCATTTCATTGGTGGAAAGTGCCATTGGATTTTGGCGCTTAGCTGCGGGGCCTCTAAGCTTGCGTTGCTCAGAGGCACCGACACCAACGTGAATTTGAGTCTGGCCTGCGGGAGAAGCTAGAGAAGAACATCGAGAATTTCTACTGGCGAGCAGCCGGGCGTTAATTTGTGGGCTTCGATGGGAAAACGGAAACGGCAGACGCTGGTTTGGCAGTCGGAGCTTCCAAATGGCAGCTGTGACAGACTTCCGAGATGGGCGGAAGCCTGCCGAAAGCCCTGAGATATCCAAGGGGGCAAGTGTTTGGGCTACATGCCCTGCAACTAAAGAAAAAGAGGCGAGGGGCACATGGGATCCTGCAGAGCGGCGCATGCTCAAACAGTAGCCTTCTGTCCAGTCGACGGGCCATCGCCCCGCCGGGCCCAAGGACATTGCGCAGCAAAACGCGGGCCTCTCCGTAAACCTGACGGCAGCCTGGCTTGCAATGAGGCTTCTTGGCTGATGGGTGCTCCCTGTTCTGCATCGCAAGCCCAGGGCAGCACTCTGGCAACTTTCTGTTTGACTTGTCTCCGCCCGAAGGGACCCCGTAAAAGGAATCCCTCAGGGATGGTTCATAGGAGTCATTTCCAGCATCCTCAGCATATGGGACATGAAAAACAGGAAAGTGCCAAGAAGGCCTTGTTGTGGCAGGTTCATTTATTGTGGTTCCTGGGGCATCCTGGGACGTGTTTTACGGCTCAACATGCACGCTTCAAGACCCAGAAATCCGGCACTGTCGCTCCCCCCTCCTGCATGTATATAACTCTTGGTTTGAGCTGCACTTCATGCTTGGTTCCAAACAAATTCAAACAAGTCTGGACTTACAAAAAAAATGGGGCCTTGCTTTTATACCCTTTCGAGGGGGGGTTCAAAGAGTAGACCCTAGTGTTCTTCTCCTTTCACATCACCGAGGCAAAATAACGTCTTTTTCCTTACCCCAAATTCGAGGCACCCTCTCGTTCCACGTGTTAAGAGCCCTACGTGACGTAGGCAAAACAACGTCTTTTTCCTTACCCCAAATTCAAGACAACTCAGAGATTTTTGTTTTTCTCCTTCGACGCGTTAAGACCCGCGTGTACCCCGAATTCAAGGCACCCTGCAGCAGACGTCAGAGGGGCGTGTTTTGTTCTCCTTCCAGGCGTTAAGAGACCCATGTGACCTAGGCAAGTCTTTTTCCTGACCCCAAACTCGAGGCGACGTCGTTTGGTCTCTTTCCACGCGTTAAGAGCCCCATGTGACCTAGGCAAAAATACTTTTATTTTCTCTGCCCCAAATTCGAGGCACCAGCATTCGGGAAATGAACAACAGGAAAGTGCCAAGAAGGCCTTGTTGTGGCACGTTCATTTATTGTGGTTCCCGGGGCATCCTGTAACATGTTTTACGGCTCAACATGCACGCTTCAAGACCCAGAAATCCGGCACTGTCGCTCCCACCCCCCCGGTCTTTATCATGGTACGGCGGCTGCCCCGAAGCTCCAAGTTTGGAAACGGGGCAAGTAAGGAAATGAGGAAGCCCTCTAAAAATGGGGTACGCTGTGTCTGACAGACAAACGCAGCTTTACAGCTGTCGTCGCTCGCACCCAGCCAAAGCCTGTTTTTCTCAATCCGCTGGTTGCATACTTGTCCGACTGCACGCATCTGTGTGATGCGACTAGCGAGTTTCAAGATCGGTGCAACGATGCCAATTGAATACTGTCTTAAATATTGGCATTGAGTCTGTACGAGTGCGCAGAGATATCTTGACTCACAAGATCGAACAAAAAAACGCTCCGAGGCTCAGTAAGACAAATATAACTGGTACACATGGAATAGAATTCGAGCACATGTGGGGACTGTCCACTGGCATCGGCGGATCGCGTAGCGATTTCAATAGATTCCTCCAAAAAGTGGTTCAACCTAGCCAGGGGGGGTGAGCAAGTGGCATGACCTGGCCCCTCTTCTCGAGGAGAAGGCGCTGGACAGGCAGATCGTGCGGATCGTGTCCAAGTACCCTGAGGCCATTGGGAAGCGCCTGTAAAAGGCGGCTTGGAGCGGTCGAACCCTTGGCGGTCGGGTGGTTTCTCCAACTTGTTTTGGGTGGCTTTCCTTTCACCACCGCTGAACAGGGCTAAGATTTGAACGTGTCACTTGATTGGACAGGGTCGAGCCGTGCAACTTGAGGCGCTGGGGGAGGCTGGGGGATGAAGAAGCGTGATGCTGCACACTGCGACCCAAGTAGCTCGCTTGGGCCTGCCCTTGTGGTCCTACACTTCGGGCGCTTTCCAACAGCCTGCTTCCAGGCTTCAACCTCAGCGAAACTGCAGTCGGTGCTTTGGACGCCGGTTGGTGGGGTTGAATATTGACCCAGGAGCTCTTTACTTTTTGGTGCTCTTGCAAGGGAGGCCAAAAGGAGGTGGTTCAAACAATGCTATTCAGGCTCAAGCATTCACAGGCTCCAGGCTAGCTGTCAGCTGTACCTTCCATGGCGCGAATCCAGGTGCTGTTGCTGCTTTGGTTGCAGCTCTTGGAAACCGCGCTCGCCTTCCCAGTGGGATCCCTTGAGCTCACGAAGGATCAGTTCAACAAGCTGAATGCCTCCGGGGCCGATCCGCTTGCCACGAGCATTCTCCTGCCACACCTGAGTGACTTCTTCAAAGCGGCCGAAAACGCCATCACCATCGAGCGTGGCGACATCATCATTGAAGAGCACTTTCCGGACACGACCATTGACGACGACTGCAACCACAAGGTGGAGGCATTGAATGGCCATGCGAAGGGCGACATCAAAAACACCAGCTTCCTGAGCGGCGGGGTGAAGGTTTCTTGGAAGTCCGTGTCCGTCTTCATGGACGCGGAGCTCGATGCGCTCCTCGACATTGGAGGTGATGTTTGCGTGCGCCTGGGCAAGCACATCTTTGGGCACCACTGCTCGCAGTTCGCGAGGAAGACTGTGGGCCTCACCGTGGACTCGGATGGCAAAAACGGCATCGGCATCAACATGACGGCCTCCAATGCACACTTGGAGCAGGCGAACAGCACCTGGTACTTGGTCTTCAACTTCCACGCTGATGTGGTTGGAACCGTCCTGCAGTGGAATGTGGACAAGATCACTGCAGATGGATGCAAGATCAAGATCTTGGGCATTGAGATCCTCTCAGTGTGTGGTTACATTGAGCGTCATGTGAAGGACAAGCTGCAGTCCTTGTTGAACACGGTCGAGCGGGTGGATGCGCCCAAGCTGCTTCAGAAGCTTTCGGACAAGATCAACACCGCGATTGGGGCGGTTGTCCGGATTCCTCTGAAGTTGTCGGACGAGATCGTCGTTTGAGAGACGATTCCACGGCCAGAGACCAACCAAAGCGCGGGGCCTTGCTACACCCGGTGCTTGGCCAGGTGAAGCCTGAGCTTCGCGCTCGATTTAGGCAACAAAACGGAAAAAGCGGCCTAAATGCATATGGCTGTGGCTCAAATTCAAGAGCTAGGGTTACGCAGGTTTTAGCCTTGGTTCCATTTGCCAAGGTGCCATTTTGGTACATTTTTTGGGCCACCGCCAGATTTTTCTCCAAGGGAGGTCCCCAATTCCAATGGGTCGGACGCGCCAGGCGTTTGCCCAGATGTCGCTGCCCTCCCGCTCCGCGGGCTCGGAGCCGCCCTCGCTGTCGCGGCAGCGCAGCGCGGGCCCCAGGATCCTTGGAAGGTTGTTCGAACAGGTGTTTTTGGTTCAAGCAAGTGGTTTTGCCCCGTTTCCCCGTTTTTCTTTGTTTGTCTTGTTTTGCTTTTTTTTTACCCTGTTTTTTTTTTCTTTTTTGAAAAAGGACACACGACCCTCAGAGCTACGGGCGCGACTTCTCGATGGTTGTTGGTTTGGGGGGGTGGGGGACTTCTCGCAGGTGACGTTGCATGTGGCGATTTTTTTGCAGTGGGAACTTGAGGTAAGCAACATCTACTCAGGGCAAGCAATGCAAGATTCTTGACCGGGCACCCAGCTTTCATTAAGGGAGGAGCTTTGAAAACTTTGCAGCGGCTTAAGCTGCCATTTGGTTGCCACGTTTGCATCAAGTTGCCTTCGACAAAAAAGGTGAATGCCGATTCCGACTGCACTGACTGGATTCCTCGGCTTGGCCCCGCGGGTGCCGTACACATCTCCTCACCATGCACACCCCTCCCATTGTCACCCTCTAAATCCCCCTTTTGTCCGGTGGGTTCCCACAAAACTTGGTCAACAAAAAAAAGGCCGCGGCTCCCCCTTTTCTTCTCCCACAAACAGGTCCTGGCATGGCAATCCGAGGAAGGTGCATTTTATTTCCGGGGGTCGGGGGCGTGCGGGGGGGGTTTAGCGCGCGGCAGGCTCTGGTGGCACAAGCATCCAGCAGGTGAAGGCGGAGGTGGCTGTCTTTACGGCCGCCGACTTCGGCATCGAGGCTCCGGCTTGCGCGCGAAAAATCCGCCTTGCGGTTTGATGTCGGGCACGGCAACTATTTGGCCGTGGTTGTCAAAACCAATGGTAATTACCATTTTGGTTAGTGGGTGAATTCACCACCCATTTTAGAACCGTTTTTAGTGGGGATTGGGATGTTCAGTGGGGGTACGATCTGGATTTTGACCCATGGCCATTTGTAGCACACAACTTGCGCCCCCCCCAAGAGGAAACCAACAGGAT